ACGAGGGGGGGGAGGGGAGAGAGGAGAGAGGTGAGAGGAGCGCGGAAAAGAGAGGGGGGGGGCATACAGAGGCAGACAGAGAGAGACAGAGAGAGAGAGAGAGAGAGCGATAGATAGAGAGGAGAGAGAGAGACAGAAAGAGAGAGAGAGAGAGTGTGTGTGCCAGAGAGAAAGAAGAAACTTCCCTCTTTCTTTCTCACCAACAACCAACTCATTTTCTAGTCATTCTTACAGGTCCTCTAAATGTTTCCCTCTTGTAAACCGAGTCAAGATAAACCTTATCGTCTAAACGTCAGCTCCTGATCCCAAAGAGCTCTAGGCTACCGGCGGCTTGACTGTAATCGCGTAGCTACATACATACTCCATTATGAAACAAGTCCTCTTCAAAGCTTGGCTCTGGTTATACGAGGTTTTTTTTTTTCTTTGTCCTACTGGTCTCTTGTAAAGATCGCTATTGTAGGTGTCGCGTTTAGCACCTTGGTTATCGTTAGTGTTTTACTGTTGTTGTTGTTATTGTTGCTGTTGTTGTTGTTGTTGTTGTTGTTGTTGTTGTTGTAGCTGTTGTCGACAGATTTTGGGGGCAACGGAGTCAGTAATGATTTCTCTGTCATTCCTATCTGCGAGCCCGAAAAATCAATTCTCGCTAGAGCCACCGCTTCCTTAACAGGTAGTCCAGTCTCCCTTTATCGGCCCCAAATAATTAACGTGGAGCTACCTTCTTGTTGTTCTTGTCGTTGGTGTTACTGTTGTGGTTGGCTGTTTAGGTGTATCTATTATCAGTGTTGTCACTGTGGTTGTTATTGATGTTACTTGTGCTAGTGAAATATCTATGCGTTATGTTTTTGCTGTGGCTTTTTATTGTGGCTTTTTATTGAGTATTTATCTAGTTCTTGTTTGTTTATGTGTTTGTTTGTTTGTTTGTTTGTTTATTTGCTTGTTTGTTTTGATGTTATTTTCTTTTTGCTTCGTATTTTATTTCCTTTTTCTATTAGACATTTTATCGTTGCTGTCGCTGTTCTTGTTTTTCTTGACGACGTATTTGTAGCTACCAAAGTTATTGTTACTTTTATTCGTTGACCGCTCCATTATCTTCTATTTTTAACCACAGATCTAAGAATAAACACCAGGTTCCTTTCCTTTTCCGGAACGAATGGCCCCGGATCGATCCACAACCGGGTGTTTCTGAACGTCGGTTGGTTTGGGGAGTTTTTTAGCTTCTCCATTCATTTGGCTTGGTTCTATCGAAGGTGGCCAATAAATTCGGAGGCCCGTCCTTTTAAACAATTTTAGAGGTGAGAGGGGTGGGGCGGGGGGGGGGCGTAAAATATGTTTGTTAACCAACACAACTTCTCTCTTTGACCACTATGCTATAGTATTTGAACGTGCTGGTGTTTTATATGTCGATGATGTTTTACTTCATTTAACGGAGTCCGTAATTTGTGTCCAAGTTCTTGATTTTACCCGATATTATGGTATGATTTACTTAATTTTCTTGACCAGTTTAAGTAGTCAAATTGTTAAAGGCCACGTAATACGCTGCATTTGAGCAAAATCGGGTCCCGGTCCTTAAACTGTTACATAACAATTCAACGAGATCGAACGGGTAAACAACGTTTAGTTCTGACCAGCCTTTATAGTAGCATCAGTGAACGACGTTAAGTCCACATGAACGAAACGAACACATACAATACTATTGCCGATCTGCAGCAGACCAAAGGGAGTGTTGCGGCACATTTCGATAAACCATAATATTATTATACACAAATTAGAAACACAAATGTACATATACTTCATTGTATGAACGTTGCTGTTTGTCATTTTAGGTTATGGATGAGGAGAACAGAATTGACAAATCTGTATGAATATTTTAAGTGCTCCCCCCCCCCCCCCCCCCCCCCCCCCCCCCCAAAAGAAAAAAACTTCTAGAAATGTTCGGAAATAACCAGAATGCTAATACACAATGAGTGAACTATGGTACCTGATCGTGGCAATGAAATGAGACAACAGACAAGAAGACAGTTACATAATAGTAAATCTTGATCTCTTATAAAAAATGATGGCACTGGATACAAAAACTTAAGCGTTCATCTTTGCATATTATTTATTACTTTAACAAAAGAAAAAGGTGTATGCCTGGACACCTTGAGGTCAAGGAAGGGGCATAAGCAGGGTTTATTCCGGTGCCACTGATAGTTTTGACGCTGTTGTCCCCTTGGCAAATACGTTGGCTTTTACTGTTCTCTGGTTAGACTAAAAACCGAGTAAACAGAGTAATAAACTAATATAGCGTGTTTTACAGCGGAGCTGATAAGAATAGAAGGTGTTTTATATGTAACTATTCTATTGACTAAAGGAATTGAATAGGTTCAGAGGGTTGGACTTTTTTTTCTTTTCAAGTTCATGCATCTGCAAGCATAATAACAAAATAACAATAATTGAAAGTTCACTGATTGATCTTAATACAAACAGTTAGTATACATTTTACGAGATATCACACGGATGCCGAAAATGGACCATCAGTGTTATCTTTCTGACTGTACCACAACGCGGTGGAATCAGGCGCTCGTTAATTTTGGGCATGTAGAGTTATTGGTTCATGGTAATATCTTAAAGCTTGTTTAATTGTCTATCTTTTAATGAAAAAAAGCACCCCTCTACCTTGAATAGAAGTCAATATGTGTGTAGTGGAAGGAGGGGGCATCACCTGGTTTCAGAGATTTAAAAAAGCGAGAAAATGGTCGCCAAAGTCAGTTGAATTCCATAGCTTGAGAGTCCTTGAGAACTAAAAGTTTACTTTTTGTGCCTTTAATCCACGTTTTCAAGTAAAATCAGCTCAAGAATTTGTTTTGAAACGGACATAAAAGCTGATGAGCCTCAAAATAAAAATGTGATAAAAATTACCAAACTGACGGGAAAATGACGGTATCTCCAATTTCATCAATTTGACGAGCGCCCGATTTCACCACGATTCCTCACTACTACTTTTCGTAAATGGGAATGAGAGATGAGATCAAGCGTTCACTCCCCACCAATCAGACAAATTAAGTTACCCAGGTCACGACATGACTAGCTGATTAAACCAACGTACAATTTAGTCTTTTATAAATGTACGTAAGGTAGGTGTTCTGCGCATGCATCGAGAAATGTTTATTATTTAGGATACGGGCTTCGATCCTGTATGTCAGGGCCAACAAGGATTAAGAGCAATACAATGTACCAGCAGAAAAACGGAGATACTCGATTTAAAAGTTCTCCCAACACGGGACTCGAACTCAAGTCTTCTGCTTGTGACGCCATTTTCAAAGTTCACACTCATTATGTGTCGTAATGGTAAAGCTCTCCACCTTACAGGCAAAAGGTGTGAGTTCTATAATTTCTACTCTTTCATGTCGTTCTGCTGGACGGGAGACTATAATATTATTTCACTCAACCTAAACACGGTCAAAACTGTCTATGATTTACATGATAATGTGGGTCAACGGCCTTAAACATTGAATGAAATACCTACGTACGTACCTACCTACCTACCTACTTACCTACCTACCTACCTACCTACCTACCTACATACCTATATACCTACATACCTACATACCTACATACCTACCTACCCACCTACCTACCTACCTACCTACCTACCTACCTACCTACCTACCTACCTACCTACATTGTGTCGATGGGTCAGGAAACATTAAAACGTTCATTTATGTACAAATGTATAAACCGTTTTGAGCAAAGTGTCTCACCGTGGGCTTCGGTATTCGAGTGGTTAGGCTACCGGACTCGAAATCGTGAGATTGCGGTGGGAGCGGAACTTCGAGGATCAATTCTGCCGGACGTTGTGCCTGGGGAAAGGCACTTTCTATGAATGGTCCCTTTACGTTCGGTCCAATCGGATGTTGACGTTAAAATCGAAGGTCCCGCCTCTTGAATAACCTTACTGTGTTGCAAGGTATGTTAAACTTATCCAATGTATCAGATATCGTCTCACCTTGGACAGACCCGCTAAACTGTCTGTGTTCGCCCGTCCTCTCTTCCAACGTCCGTCCAAGTGCGCCTCATCTATCGGACTCTCGCCGGAAGTCGAGTCCGTGCCCACACCTGATTCGCCCGAGTCTGGTATCGTCGCAGATACTGGAGGTAAGGAACTGATTACTACTCGTTTTTGAGATCGGGCGCTCTTCTGGGGAGTTGACCGAGTGGAAAGGTTTTAGATTGTTTTCTGTCGCTGTTAAAAGGAAATGCATACTTAGTTGTGGGCTTTGTTTGACTGAAAAAAAACTTCTGGCGATATGGAGTTTACGTAACGCCAAAAACTATTATTTAGAAATGAAAGGGAAGGGACGAAGCCAAATGCACAAAGAGCAGAACTAGAAATAAAAGACAGAAAAATGATAAGAAAAGGGGACCGAAAGAAAGAGAGAAAATCAGCAAAATGTGTCTACAGAGTTCAAAATGCAAATCATTCATTGGGGTGGGCGTCCCATGAAAGGCCGGTAGGGATTGCATAATACTGAAACGGCCTGTCATGTATGATACATAAAGACGAGGTGGTGGTGACGGTGAGGTGGGTGTTTTTAGGGTGATTTTTGTTGTTGGTGGTGGTGGTGGTGGTGTAGGGGTGGGGGTGGAGGTGGGGGTGTTATTTCTTGTCGTTGATGTTGTTGGTGGTGGTGGTGCTGGTGCTGGTGCTGGTGCTGAAGGTGGTGGCAGTTCTTTCTTGAGAAAGGGATGAGGGGTAATCAAACTTGAAAACATTCTTTGAACTTTGTACATCGTTTAAAAAGGTATGGAGTCATGATAACATTACAATTTTTTTTAAGTTTGGAGAGTGTTATATTACCACGGCACAGAATCTTCCTTTACCGCTCACCTTTCCCTTTCCTCCTTCCGCTTTCTCCTCATCACTTGTTTCCTTCGTCTCGTCCTCTGTATCTGTCTTTGCCAACATCTCAGCTGTGTTTAGCTCCTCTTCCAGCTGAGATAATCCCTTATAAAGATGTGTAAAAATGTCTTATCAATATGGATCCAGCACTAGCATAATTGTTTAAAAGTGTGGTACATGTTTTTAGACAGACATTCCTATTGACAATAGTCGAAAAATTGTCATAGAAATAAAGGATAAACAGGCTTAAGATTTGTTCTGTCTCGTTCTTTCTTTCTTTCTTTCTTTCTTTCTTTCTTTCTTTCTTTCTTTCTTTCCTTCTCCTTCTCCTTCTCCTTCTCCTTCTCCTTCTCCTT